GAAGAAAGTAAAAAAGATAGATCCAGTTTTGCTAATATAAACAAATCATCTTGAGATTATTTGAATAATTTATATAAATACCAAATTGTTTTTGCAAATAAATATATTTGTATTTAATAACCATTCAAGAATATTTTTGAAATGTGATATTAGATCAAATGTAGTCATTACTAATTAATCTTATAAAAAAGAAAAAAATAGATTATAAAACATTAAATTATAAAAACTTATTACATTTGTAAGTAAAAAAATAAAAATAAGAACTGGTAAAAATATAAACACTCTCACCTTACTAATAATTCAATATTGTATACATTATCCAGTCTGACAGCATAAAAGAAATTATTTTATAAATCAAAAAGTAATACAATAAATTTATTTAAATTTATGATTTTTTTAAAACTTAGTATTACAAAATATTAAAAGATTTTTTTTTTACATCCAACACACTGACAATATGCAAAAACTGATTTTTAAATATACATTAAAACTTTCTTTGCACAATTTTCAAATTCCTTATTTAGTTTAACTGGTTTAAATAAATAAAATCTCACTTCCTAAATTGTAATCATGTCAGTTTTTTTAATGTAAATTTTTAATCATGTGTTAAGAACTTTAATAATAACAAATAGATCCAGCGGTGTGTTCTGCTATCATTATAAGGGATGATCAGGAAATAAATTTGTGCACAAAATGATTTTTGTAGCTAAATCTAATAAACTTACATAATGGTTAAGGAGATATATGCTCCCTCTGCTCCTCTTGAATACATCTACACTTACCTCTATTTACTTATAAATAAAAATAATTAATTTAAAAGAATTACAGATATGTTTATATATCTGTAATTCTTTATGTACATTTATTTTATTCTTATTATCTGATTTTATTTAATATTTTGTAATGTAACTATTAACTTTTATTAAACAACCTATAAATGCTAATCTTTTTCAGGAGTCCACATTTTAATTAAGGTCTAATGTGACGTTTTTCAAGGTTTTTAACTTCTCATCTTCAGATCCACTTCAACTATTTCTAAAATCCAACCAGAGTTCTACACTTGTTATAACTTTTTATACAGGTTCAAACTGCTTGAACCTGTATAAAATCATAATGAATTGTTAGCATTTTTCTTTCCTTTTTTGCCACAAACTTCACAAATATCCAGAGACACACAGGTGCAATGTGGCAGCCGCATAAACGTCCAAATGCTCATAACTTCTAAGTGAATCTTTCAATAAAAAAATGTTTCAGATAAAAGTTTGTTTATGATGTGGAATCATAACATGAAAAAAAAGTGTTCCCATTTAAGAAAATGAAGTTGACCCCATTTTTACCGATTGTGTTGCCATCTATGATGACACTGATAGCCCCATCCTGTGGCCCCCTTAAAGTCTAACATTTTTGGTTCAATGAATTTTTCTAGGGTGCATATTTTTTTAGTTATTCTAGTTGATTGATTAAAATGGACCACCCCGCATCTTAAATTTAAATTATATGTTACTTTTTAATTAAAACTTCAAGAAATTGAATTTTAATTCAATTAATAAATTTCTAAAGTATAAATTAATTTAGCCCAGAATTTTTAAGTCAAACAAGTAACTAATTATCATTTTTATAAATAAATTAATTTATATACAGTCAACACACCTTAATACTAAAAACGCACATTTATTGAGCTAAACAAACCAAACATTATTTAAATTCGAACGTCTTTAACCTGATGATAACCCATTTCATGGGCCATCATCAGGTTAAAGACGTTCGAATCTAAGCAATTATCGAACACGTTCAAATTTAATTTATATTAGAACATATGTTGAAATTAAATTACGTAAATAAACATAACGAAATTAATACAATAAATACAAAAAACAAAATAATATAAAAAGGAATATAAAATTTGGTAATTTCCCGCAATACAATATGTAAACATTTTTTATATATTAACCCAGGTTTTCATTGTATCATCCTACGAGTTTTTTCTGATTATGTATTTCCATGCCGACGGTAAAATGGTTGCATCCTTATAGTTTAAACATTTATCCGTCAAGCAGGATCTGTAGATCTCACATTTCTCTGTTGTGGATGCAAGTGTTGGCGAGTGTACCTTTGCAACGATTCTGGCCTCCTCCCATTTAACTATGGATCCATCTGTTTGCACTATTTTTGATAACGCTGTTGCATATCGGCTCTTTGCAACGTCATACTTATGCTCCTTCATCCTCACGCTAAGGTTTCTATTAGTGACTCCTATGTATTCTTTATCTATTCCTAATTGGCCGTTCTTGTATGGTATTGCATATACTCTTGCTTGTTCTTTTTCATTAATTTTTTTTGTCGTTTCTGAGCAACGTATATAATGTGGGAGCTCTTTTGTATACTATATTGGTGTTTTTGTAGTTCGCTATTTCTTTCATAACCAGGAATAGATGTTTATTATATGTAAATTTTGTGATGTTGCTGGCTCCCTCTGGTTTTTTCTTTTTGCTCTTTCTAGGATCGTTGTATGCGGTGATTAGACGCTCTACAGATCTTGTTCCAAATCCCAGCCCTTTCGCATCTTCTTTAATTCTATTCAGTTCCTCTATCGTGTCTATTACGTTGGAGCAATACAGAAACGCTCTTCTGATTAGCGCCCTAAAGGCAGAGAGTTTATATACAGTTGGATCATTAGATGTCGCTGGTATATATATCGGATCATGAGTGGGCTTGATACACACCTTTGTGTATAGTGATCCATTCCTAAATTCAAAGTTAACGTCCAAGAAATGTAGTTCTTTGCTACTAATCTGTTCTAGGTTCAGTTTTAAATGCTGGTTGGAATTCATTTGGCTCAAGAATTGTTGTATTTTTGTGTCATTCTTCCATACAATTAGCACATCATCAACGTATCTTTTGTATAGAATTATGTCTTCATTATAGTTGATAAGTGCAGAGCGCTCCATTTTTCTCACTACTAACTCACAGAGCAGGCCAGACATTGGGCTGCCCATCGGGACCCCCTTAACTGTTTAAAAATTTTACCTTCGAAACTGAAAAATGATTGAAAGCATACAAGATTTGCCATCATCTCGAGGTCCTTTCGGTGTTCGGATGCATTCGGGTGCAACTCACATAATAGGTTTACTAATGCATCAAAACATGAAGTAAGATTTATCGATGAATACATGCTCTCGAAGTCCATAACCGACCCCACTTTGTTGTCCAATAATGATAGCTCATGCAGATCTATCATAAATCTTACTTCATGTTTTGATGCATTAGTAAACCTATTATGTGAGTTGCACCCGAATGCATCCGAACACCGAAAGGACCTCGAGATGATGGCAAATCTTGTATGCTTTCAATCATTTTTCAGTTTCGAAGGTAAAATTTTTAAACAGTTAAGGGGGTCCCGATGGGCAGCCCAATGTCTGGCCTGCTCTGTGAGTTAGTAGTGAGAAAAATGGAGCGCTCTGCACTTATCAACTATAATGAAGACATAATTCTATACAAAAGATACGTTGATGATGTGCTAATTGTATGGAAGAATGACACAAAAATACAACAATTCTTGAGCCAAATGAATTCCAACCAGCATTTAAAACTGAACCTAGAACAGATTAGTAGCAAAGAACTACATTTCTTGGACGTTAACTTTGAATTTAGGAATGGATCACTATACACAAAGGTGTGTATCAAGCCCACTCATGATCCGATATATATACCAGCGACATCTAATGATCCAACTGTATATAAACTCTCTGCCTTTAGGGCGCTAATCAGAAGAGCGTTTCTGTATTGCTCCAACGTAATAGACACGATAGAGGAACTGAATAGAATTAAAGAAGATGCGAAAGGGCTGGGATTTGGAACAAGATCTGTAGAGCGTCTAATCACCGCATACAACGATCCTAGAAAGAGCAAAAAGAAAAAACCAGAGGGAGCCAGCAACATCACAAAATTTACATATAATAAACATCTATTCCTGGTTATGAAAGAAATAGCGAACTACAAAAACACCAATATAGTATACAAAAGAGCTCCCACATTATATACGTTGCTCAGAAACGACAAAAAAAATTAATGAAAAAGAACAAGCAAGAGTATATGCAATACCATACAAGAACGGCCAATTAGGAATAGATAAAGAATACATAGGAGTCACTAATAGAAACCTTAGCGTGAGGATGAAGGAGCATAAGTATGACGTTGCAAAGAGCCGATATGCAACAGCGTTATCAAAAATAGTGCGAACAGATGGATCCATAGTTAAATGGGAGGAGGCCAGAATCGTTGCAAAGGTACACTCGCCAACACTTGCATCCACAACAGAGAAATGTGAGATCTACAGATCCTGCTTGACGGATAAATGTTTAAACTATAAGGATGCAACCATTTTACCGTCGGCATGGAAATACATAATCAGAAAAAACTCGTAGGATGATACAATGAAAACCTGGGTTAATATATAAAAAATGTTTACATATTGTATTGCGGGAAATTACCAAATTTTATATTCCTTTTTATATTATTTTGTTTTTTGTATTTATTGTATTAATTTCGTTATGTTTATTTACGTAATTTAATTTCAACATATGTTCTAATATAAATTAAATTTGAACGTGTTCGATAATTGCTTAGATTCGAACGTCTTTAACCTGATGATGGCCCATAAAATGGGTTGAAAACGTTTGTTTAGCTCAATAAATGTGCGTTCTCAGTATTAAGGTGTGTTGACTGTATATTGTTAAAGAATCTGAGTGAGAATAGGAGATTAATTAATTTATAGCCTTAAAACACACAGACAGACCCAAAGAAGACTTATAAAGAAAGCCAAAAACATTTTCACAAGAATATTTCTGCTAGGAAAGTAAAGTAGTGGAAGGTATAGTGATTTGGTTTAAGAAAATATTTCTTAATAGAAATACATTTAAATTAAATAATCAAAATTCAAATATAGTTACCTTAATTAAATTATGTTATACTTTAAATATTTTATAATTACAATTAAGTACCTTTATTTTCATCATAATCCAGTTTCTTGGTTGCACCTACTGCTTTCCTTATATCGTCAACAGATATCATTCCGCCTAATCCGAGTATATTCATAAATTTCAAAACACTCTCCGAATAAGCCATATCTTCTACAATCTGGAAAATATCCATAAATTAATTCTATAATTTCCTCTTTATTTAGTTTTTAATTATATATTTTCTTAAAAAGACAAAGTTCTAGAAACTAAAAATTATATATTATAACTCAAAAAACAAAATACAAAATTTTAATAAACTAAATTTTTAGTACAGCAATACTTCATATTTCAAATGCTAAATTAGACAAAAAATTTGTCTAATTTAGCATTCAAATAATGCTTCACAGTTTCAACTGTGTGGGCAATGATAAAACATGTTCAAAATGTAAACATAATATGTTGTGCACTGGAGTCATCTCTCACTTTTGTATTATGCTAGTATGTTTACGGTGTTTTTTTCACTTTATTTTTGGTGTGTTCGGTTATATATATTGTGTGTTATTCGTTGATTTTTAATAATTGCTTCCTGCAATTTTTATTTGTAGACAACTTTTGGGCACTCTGTATGTTTTGTATCATTTAATTCAAAAATCCCTGGAAGGAACTTTTTAAACCACATTTGACATGTTCAAAGTTTAGGAGCATCTCCGTATGCATTACAATTATTTTTACTCTTTGTACAATATAATATCCTTTGTAAAACTCATACAGCATAATATATCTAATATGCTTTATATCCAGACATTTCAATTTGATTTTATTCAAACAAAATGTGAAGTAAAAAGTTTAAAATAAGCTTATAAACAAAGAATACAATCTGAAATTAGCAATAATGTGTTAAATTTTACAACTTTTATAATTAAATCCACATCTATGTTAAGAAACGATGGCTATTAAAAATACACAAAAACTTTCTGTTCAACCCAATGTAACCTTTACTTATTAATTATGTCATCCGAGAATGCAAATTATGATTTAAGTTTATCAAAATGGGTATTGTTTAGAGTCTGGGAATAGATTAATTTCTTTCCATTATTTCTAACAGGAAAAATTGATTTGGAATTCAAATGATTTGGAGTTCAAACGGCCTCTTGGAATGAATTAAATCCAAAGTACAAAGCACCATGTATTCAAAATTACAAGTATTAAAGTATAATTACACAAAAACTACATTCAAACACTTTTCAAGCAGCTTTCTATTCATTTTCAAACTGCTGTAAAAATTAAAGAAAAGTAACTCCAGATGTTCTTCATTTGATCAAAGCAAAATCTATTTCAATTCATTTTCAAAAACCAACAATAAATAATTTCCATAATTATTTCATTCCAATTTAAGGAAAAGGGCCAGATGGGTGATTGGTTAAAGTGTCAGCTTACCACCATTCTGGGGACCCAGGAATGAATCCAAATGTGCTGAAAAACAATTTTTTAGAGAGACCAGACCAAATGTCAGGCCCATCTCTCACCACCCGACTACCCTATTGTGGACCAAAACAAGCATAATGAACTTGACTAAAAAAAACACCAAGAGAGCCTTTTTTAATCAATTATCACAGGATTTAATAATCCTATGATAATTATTGTCATATTATTTACACAATTACAACATACAGTGGAACCTCCATATTCATCATTAATCTGTTCCTAAGGACCTAATGAATATGGAATATGACAAATATAGAAACAATTTTTCTCATAATAAATAATTGATATTCAATTAATCCGTTCCCATTCTGAAAAAAGGTACAAGAATAAAAATTATGTTGTTTGTAAAACTTTATCTTTATTGTACTAAATAAATACAGTATAGTGGTAGAAGGGGAAGAACAGTATTATTAATATAGTATATTAATAATATAGTATTATTGTTTAGAAGAAGACATATCAATTAAAACATTAGGTAATTCCAATTATGATCATGGGGTCTGTTCTGCCGATGATTCAGTAGCACTCGATTTAATAAAGAACTTGTCCAGTGTTGTGTGTTTTTGTCTGCTTTTTAAAACTTTTCTGAAGTAGGGAATTACATTGTCATTGAATGAATTTGTATTTTGGTTGACTATAGCAACATTTGGGGGCCATTTTGAAGTGATTAGAACTAGCTTTCTCGCATTCATGATTTTTCAATAACTCAACAACACACACAGAGGACGACAGCACAAAACAAACTGATTGACTACAGCTAGTTGATCGGCGCAGGTGTGCGATTGTAGTGCCACTTCCGGTGTTGGGAATGAATGACGAATACAGAAAATACCGAGGAATATAGAAAAATAAAAAAGTCATCAAAATGTGACGAATACCGAATATTACAAATATAGAGGTTGATGAATATAGAGGTTCCACTGTATATGAAATTCTTTTCTATTGCAATACACAGATTACATCATATAAGACCTTATCATATATGTTCACTACATTAAATGAAGATCAAATGTGCACATCTTTTTTCTTTCTCCAATTTTCTCCATCAATCATTGTGGCAAAAAACTTCTACTGTTGATCTAGATAGCACAATACTAAAATGGTGTACAAAGATTTCCAACTTTTGTCTCATTTAGAGTATTACTTCTTTTGTAACCTATTTAATACATAACTTAAACAGTAGTATCTTAGTCTCAATCTTTCTGTTTTAACAGTTTAAAGGAAAACAATAAAACATAGCTACAACCAACAGACTTCCGAAAATCTATCGGGCTAGTTTTATGCTAATTATTAACCCCTTCTGAGCCGCGCTCGAGTGTGACTCGAGCAAGTTTTATAGCGTTACATCGTTAAGGCTACTTTTGAAAAAATTATTTTTTTTGAATTTTTGGAATGTTTTTTAGGTCCCCAAATTTTTTCAGAATTTTTTGCGCACGCGAAAAAATTTTATCGCGATTTTAATAAGGCTCGATTAAGGCTTAATGTTTTTTTAATGGGAGTTTTTTATCAAAATTAATTTATCATTCTAAAGTTGTAGCGCACCGATTTTCCTTCGGTAAAGTTATTTAAAGCTGCTTTCTGATGTCAAAAACGACTTCCGATAGTTTTTTAATTTTTTTAATTAATAGATTTTATTATATAGAAGTTTAATTAATTAGGGGGGGTCGGAAATCGCAATAAAAATTATAATTTTTTTAAAATATTTAAAAATATACCGCCAGATTGAAGTCACCCTACTTTAAACCCTTGTCCTCCCGCGATGTCTATGAGAATGTCCCGGGAAATCGGACTCCAGCTGTGTTCAAGGTCACCCAGCTGTGTAAACAATGACTCATCGGTGTTACATTTCACAGACAGGCGAAACAAAGGAAAATAAAATATAAAGCTTTTTCTTCAAAATTAACGCATTTCTTTCGTGTTTTTTCAGTTTTAAGTATTTTTTATGCTTAATTAAAAATTTTAAAAAAAATGGGCGG